TGGCATTTCACTCCTGTGGTGGTTTGAAAACTTTCCAGCCTAAATTGCCTGTTGGCTGGTTGGTGTCCTGCTCTTACACAAATGTCAACACTGGCCTTTCACTTAAATATTTATTTATTTTTTTCTTCCTTGATGTTTGCTGTCTTGATGTGTCTTTTGGGCAGCAGTCCTCTCGTTTCATGGTTCATCTTTGTCAGCTGAAGAGGTCTGGTTCTTTTGGCAGTATTTTGTGTGATAAGCTCACCAGTCTTCTGATCAGATTAAGGGTGGGTGCTGCTCTTCCACTATGAACCTGCATTGATCAGGATCGGAATTGAACTCAACATTCCAGATGGGGTGTCACTGTTGCCTTAGGTGATGTCAAGGGGAAAAAAGTACAAAATTCATCCTATGTAACTTAATATTAGTCTCTTCACAGCTGCACTGCAGTTATGCTGTAATTTATTAACACACTGATCATCATCCCCTCAGCCAGCTTTGAAGGTTAGCCCCCCCAGTGAAAGCAGAAACTGTTGTTACACAGTAGGTGCGTCTCATTTCTATTACTGTGGTGCTGCCAGCATTTTTCTATATCTTTTTCTTGACCTTTGATGACTTCTGAATTTTAATTGGAAAAATTCCATGAGAACACTCTGACTTCATGTGTCAGGGTCATTAAAAATATTAAAAGACACTGATCCCAGGATATATAAAGGCATGTTTTTAATAGTAACCCTCAGCTTGATGCCTCCCAGTTTTGCACATTATTGATGCAGTCCTTTGGCCAGTTCTGTACCACCTTAGGACTTTCTTACTAACTCCCATCTTCTGCATCCTAAGGCATAATTTCTCATGTGGCACCATATGATGTTACTGATGTCCAGATAAATTAGAGATCCTTTGTCCAGAAAATAGACTTTCAAGAAAATGTCAGGTTTTGCTTCACTGATCTATTTTTATGAAATGTGCTGCTGGGCTTTTTTCTAGTCATATTTTCCTCCATATCATTTATTCTTTATTTTTGCATATTTAAATATTCTGATTGGTGGGATTATAATGTTTCAGAGCTCTTTTTCTGCCTCACATGCACCTTGTTTTTGTTATTTTTCAGCAGATGGTACTATCCTTGTTTTCATAATATAGGTTTTAGTTATGTATAGATTCAGCAAGAAAAATTACTTTCTTTCAGAACCTGGGCTGAAGATGATTCAACCTCCCTGAGACTCCGTGGTCCAGGCCTAGTACATATTGGATAACTTCAGTTTCCATCATTTCATTCTTTAAGTTAGGTTGGGGTTTTTGTTTGTTTGTTTTCTTTTTCTGCTATATTAAGTATCATTTAAACCAAGTAAAATAGTTGTGTTTGGGACATAGATCTGTTAGTTTTCACATCCTTCCTTTTCCTGTTCTTTTATAATGCTTTGCATATTTCTCAACCCTCTTTGAAACCAATCCACTTGTGTCAGAAGTTTTGTCCTCTTTGTTAATATTTTCCCTTGCTTTAGGATACAAATGAGTTTTGCTCCTTTTGACTTAGGGAAATTCCAAGGTCTTTTCTGATCCAAATCCTCTATCTCTTTGGTTTGTTTCACTGCTAGTTTTCTTGATTTCTGAAAGGCTGCTCTTCTAAAATGGAAAGCCTTGGTTAAAGACCTTATGTGGTTTATCCTGCCATTAATTTAAATTGAATAATTCATGATTGCTTAGACTGAGGTTTCATTGTTATTTGTTTTTTCAAGACTAATTTTGGTGCCTACCTCTTCTGCTGGCATTTAGATTGCTCATGTAGCAGCAGAATGAAATTCACATTATTCTTCATGTCATTGCTACATGGAGAATTCACAAAAGCAGCAGTGGAGGTAGATAAAACTCTAAGCACTAAGATGAATTAATAGCATTGTGGATTACTGCCAGGTAAGGAGACTAAAATGGCATCTCTTCACATTGAGAAGATTATTTTTGCAACTCTAAGTCCAAAATAGTATTCTGTCTGGAAGCTTGCACTCAGCAGAAGTTAATACTGTCCATTGCCCTTCAAAGGGAACTCTTCTTGTTTCGATGGTAATGGGCAATTAAAGGGATTTTTCAAGGCCTGCCTCTTTCATCGGTCACATATGCAGCTACAGTTTTGGGACTGAGTGTACCAAACAAATGCCATAGGGGGCTGTGGATCAGTAGAATTCAATTCCTTTCCATGAGATTAATTCAGTGATTTCTTTATGGCTATTTGTGATGTCCCAGCACCAGAGCTGGTACACAATTTCCATCCTCCTGGGGACTGCAGCAGAAAAGTCCAGGGTAACGCTGTCCTAAACATTTATCATCGTTCTGTAAAATGATCTGTCGTAAATCAGTTAATTGCAGCATTCATATCCCTCTTCCTTAGCTGATCCAAAGATAATAGTATTACGGTGTTTAAAATGGTCTCTTATCCTGACTGAACAGTTTGCAGTCAGAGAAGAGCTTCAATTTGTCTCCTGTTATGCAGCTCTATGCATTACATACTAGAAAATAGATTTAATGAACTGCAGATATACATGTGCCGTTCATTTTTGGAGCTGGTTTAAAGTTCCATGAAAATACAGGTTTGGTGTTCCAGCCCAGGCAATGAATTGTTCAGTTTATCTCAAGGGTAGTAGAAGCACAAGTTTTCACATGTACTGTCTTGCCCCCCACGCTGATTTGTAAGAATTTCTTGTATTTTACAGGTTAACAGAATAAATGACACCTGTTGTTTGCAGTTTTGCCTTCTCTGATGTCTTCAAACCTCTCACTTTTCATCTCAATAAACAGGCAAATATTGGTTGCCTTCTCTAAAGTGAAAGGCACAGAACCCCAGCTAAAAATGTCTGTAAACTGTACAAAAATGGCAATAAGAAAAGCAAGAACTGAGCTAATATGACTTGTAGCATGTAGTTTGGGGAATCTTGCCTTGTATGAATGAAATCTCTCCTTCACTCGTTGCTATTCACACTTGCAACTGCACGAGTGTCACACAAGCTGTTCAACGCTTGACAGTCTATTTCAGTTGGGATATCTATTATTCTGGCACTTTTCTTGCAGATTTGCAGCCCTCATTAACATGGAGAGAACCCCCCCCTTTTTTTTTTCCTCCTCAGATATTTATGAGTAGAAGCACTATTTTTTAATTTATACTGTATCTGTAGTAATCTATCACACATTGTTTCTGTTATTTCTTTCACCTGAGGCGTTTTTCTGCTGTTTATATAGTTTTCTTTTAGATCCAGGTAGGATTTCTCAAGTAAAACGTTCATTTGGGAGTAGGAGACCGTAACCAAAGTCTTTATTTTAATTCCTGTCACTCTCCTCCTTTCTCTTTCTACCTGGCAACTGAAAGTATGAACACTTTCTGCAGCAACCTTATGTTGGAAGAGACAACCTCATATTTATTATACTGTGATAAAAAGTGAGCAGTAGAACTGACGTGAACCTGATGAGGTTCAACAAGAGCAAGTGTAGAGTCCTTCACCTGGGGAGGAATAACCACTTGCATGAGTACAGGTTGGGGGCTGACCTGCTGGAGAGGAGCTCTGTGGAAAAGGACCTGGGTGTGCTGGTGGGCAGCAGGCTCGCCATGAGCCAGCAGCGTGCCCTGCGGCCAGAATGGCCAACAGCATCCTGGGGTGCATTAAAAAGAGCCTGGCCAGCAGGTCCAAGGAGGTTCTCCCCTCTACTCTGCCCTGATGAGGCCACATCTGGAGTATTGTGTCCAGTTCTGGGCTCCCCAGTTCAAGAGGGACAGGGATCTTCTGGAGAGAGTCCAGTGGAGGCCACAAAGATGATGAGGGGCCTGGAGCATCTGCCATATGAGAAGAGGCTGAGAGAGCTGGGACTCTTTAGCCTGGAGAAGAGAAGATTGAGAGGGGATCTTATCAATGTCTATAAATATCTGAAGTGCAGGAGCCAAATGGATGGGGCCAGGCTCTTTTTGGTATTACCCCGTGACAGGACAAGGGGCAATGGGCAAAAGCTGGAACACTTCAAGTTCCATACAAACTTAACGAAAAACTTCTTTCCTGTGAGGGTGACGGAGCACTGGGACAGGCTGCCCAGAGAGGCTGTGGAGTCTCCATCCCTGGAGATGTTCAAAACCCACCTGGATGCTTTCCTGTGCAACCTGCTGTAGGGAACCTGCTTTAGCAGGGAGGTTGGACTAGATGATCTCCTGAGGTCCCTTCCAACCCCCGGGATTCTGGGATTCTGTGAAAGGTAACAGTTCTCTGGCTGAGTAACAGGATTAAACCACGTGGCTTGGAGAAAATAGCAAATAGTTTCACAGTGAGTTGTGTACATACTTGCAGTGAAAACACAAGTAAGTACGTCTGATGTTCATCAGAGCTTTAAAAACATACCAAGTTCTTCTTACTTTAAGAATTGTCCAGATAAAGTTGAGACATCAGTGGCAGTATCTGGCAGCCTACTGAGGAGCCTTCCCTGCCTTGAATACCCTCCAAAGTGGCCAGATTTCTCAGATACAACTTTGTGTGCCATGTGTCTCATGGTAGCGGAACAACAGTTGCTTTTTTCTCATTTATACATGAGAAGACAAGGTCAATATAGTGTTTGCAAATAAACTTGCCCTTTTTGGTGACTGGACAGAGTACGGGTCTCTCTGTGTCAAGACTAAGATCTGGACGGGGTTTTGTGTCTTGGCATTATGCAGACTTCATTCTATGTGATTCTTCATATAAAAGCTGATGTGACCCTTGGTGGTTAACTCTTCTATAGCCAGTACATGCCTTTAAGTGTATTAACCTGAGATTAGGATGCCAGGTTTCAGTTTTGGTTGAAGACAACGCAGTAGGTCTACTTACAGTAATTGGTCTTGATTATTTTAAGTTGGTGACTATTTTTCCTGGTCAGTCTGTACAAACAAAATTGCTTTAGAAAAGAAATTTTTTCACTCTAATCTCTTATGATCTGACTCTCAGAAATCAACCATTTCAGCCTTGACCATTTCATTTTTATCTTGAAAACAGTCATTACTTCTATAACTAAAGTTCAGTTTCTTTAATGAATGTGTTACTCTTACAGATAACTTGCCCTGGAGTGCTGCTGAAAGACAAAGAGGAACTTTATCTCAGTGTCTCTGTACTTGGGCAGTACAAAAAAACTCAATGTGTCCCTGCAGCATTTCCACTCTTCTTTCAAGAAAAACTAGTCTTTGAAAAGGTAAGATAATGTCAAGAGCTAACACAAGCCAAATAAAACCCATCCCAAACTCCACAAAAACTCACTTCGAAGCCCCTGAGCACAAGTAATTACACTGAGGATGGCAAAGCTTTATAACACCTGCTTCTCTTCAGCAGAAGGAGGGTGTGTGCCTGTATTATCCACACAGTCACTCAGGAATTATGTGTACTGACAGCTATTATGTATGATGAGGCTTTTTAGGTATTTGTTCATTCTTGTGTGAACTGTCCTTTTTCAGTGTCTGTTTTCCTGGCTTGGAAGGAGCTGAATGTTGTTGTTCTAAAAATGATGGCAAAGCGAAGAACAAAGACTGTAAGATATAGGAGATTCAACTTAATTTAGTAGAAAGATGGAATAGCAACTTAAGCCTTTTTGGTGACGGTGACATCTTTCTCCCTTTGAGATACTTTTTTTATGGTTTGTCACCAGAATTCCCAGGTTGGTACTCTGGCCTTATAATATATAGTTGTTTATCACATATTCTGAGTCCCTACTAGCTTCATTATTAGTACCACAGGGATAATGAAACACAGTATCTTACAGATATGATCTGGCATCTTGACTACCTATGAATAATAATACTTTGCCCTTTCTAGTTCTTTTCCTTTAAGCATCCCCCAGCACTTTGAAAACCAGACTGAGTAAACATCAGTGACGCTCTGGTGATGTGGGTAAGATACAAACAGTGATAATTTCACCAGCTACTGAAGAGTAAAAAAGACAGTAGTTTTTTAAAGGCAAACATCCCACAAACTGCTTCAGGGAAATGTACTGAATACTATTTTCAGTGTAATTTAGAGGAACTCCAAGACACCAAGACCTATCTGCTTACAAAAAACGTGAATATGAAAACTGATAATAGTATCTGTTGTCTTACCAATAGCTATTAAATAGGTCTAGATACTTGTGAAGTACCAATACTTTGGTATTTTTTAGTGTTTGGTACCTTGAGTAGCAAAGTGACCTCTGCTGAGACTTTCTTACAAAATTAGGTAGGAATCTGTTATCTATTCACATGCTATTTAGTTAAAAAAAAACAACCCCAAAACATAAAAAACCACAACTGCAACAGTACTCTATGCATGAATACTCACTTCCATAAAAAGGAAGCTTAAAATGTTACTAATATATTAAAGAACATATTCTTCATCTATCAGAATTCTAGTACATTCAGCAATTATCTTTCTCTCTTGAAATTTTCTCAGACAATACTTATCTCTACATGTTCAACTCTTCACAGTACTGCCTACTTTAAATATGGAGAGGTAACCCTGAATGGCTGGAAAGCATGTGACAAGAACAGCTAGCTTTCAGTGAATTTGATCATGTGCCAAATGGCAATTTCAGTTTCCTTTCTTTTTCCAGTGGGGGCAGGACTTTTGACAACCATCTGAAGCAAGGAAGAATATTGATTTTTTAAAAACTTTTTCCTCTCTTTCCGCAAAGGTTCTTCTGGTGACTTTGACTGTGCCATTATTATTATTTATTAATTTATTTTCCAGACATTTGCTGATATAGTTGATCCTGGAGACCTTGTGGAGTTACTGGAACGTAGGTTCTGCTTTTTGTGTGTACTATGTTGTATGTATTAATGTTATGTATGTATTAATGTTATGCATGTGTGGGCTCTAAAGACTTTTTGGAGGTTTAAAGTGTGTGATAATTTTTCTATCAGGAGCCTGTCTCCTGCAAAGCTAGTGGGTAACCAATGCAGTATATCATGTACTAAATAAGTAGGACCCTAGTACTAGTGGGTTTTCAGAATGGGAGATTTGTTGCCAATGCAGGCAGAGGTTTTTTGCTGTCTTTGGTTACTAGTAACTTACCCAAAATACTGTTAACTAACAAAATGCCCCTAGAAATGTATGCTACTTGCTTTAGAACAGGAAAAGGGTAAGAAGTCATAATTAATGTAAAATCCATCTGGTTAGCCAGATAGGTAATGGGATCCTTTATCTGATCATTTATTTGATTAATTTTCAAATAATATAAGCATAAACTTTTGGTTTTTGTAAAATTATTCTTTTCATTTTTTAAGAAAATTATGTTTTGCCACTTCTGGAGCATAATGAATTGTAGTGAGACAACAATGACCCTGAACCCAAACTCCAGGAATATGCTTCCTCATACTGGGAATTGTCTGAAAAAGTGGTGAAGCCTGCATCATCTTCTTTAAAAGAAGGACAAAGTTGGAAACAGATAGAACTTACCAAGTTCTAAGTCAAATTTAGAGTTGCCATTTGTACACTGCTAATGCCATTGGGTTCATCTGTGGTATTTATGCAAGCTGTTCTTAATTTTCTCTTACTGTTGGTGTAGTGGAAATAGTGCACTATATACAGTGCTATGAAGCTTCTTAGTTTTTGACTCTGAGAATTGCTTTCCATTTTAGGTTTTTTTAACTCACGAAAAAACTTTTTTCCTTTCTAGTTGACACAGCAGTACTTGAACTAATACAGCTCGTTCCTCCAGGTATTGTATCAGATTCTTCATAAATTATGCAGTTTAATAGGTGAATTTCCATGAGGGCATTGCCCATTACAGCACAATCACTTTTCCAACATACAAACGCCATAGAAAGCTCTTCAACAAATAGTCCTCTGGATATAAAATGTTAATAGATCAAGAGGATCTCATTCTTGGAAGAGAATAATAACTGAATATTGAAATGTGCCTTACTCTGGCTTAGGAAAGTGATAATACTTTAAAAATTGAAAATAAACGGAAATCATCCAATGCACACTTATTAACTGCATCACAATTCACTTGCAAAGTGGCTGTCTGTGAAATTTCAGAGTGCATAATCTTGTTCTCAGAATGACACTTTTTTTCTTTCCATTTTAATGGTGACCATTGGGAAAACTCTTATTCTCACTATAAGTATTACAGATCTCTTGGGATATGTGAAGATAATAAATAGTGATTTGTCATACTTCTGTTATTGGTTTGTATGATTATAAAAATCTATTGTAATGAAATTCAAGTGTTCCCATGAATAATGTAAATCTACATTGTATTGGGAATAAAGTCAAGTTTTAAAGAGGACTTGTTTGGTAACTGGTATTAAAAGCACTCTTTGTCACTTGTCCTTAGTACTTTCAAGGAAACATTTGCTTCTCTCAGGTGACTTGCTAGACTGTTTACTTGAAGAATTGTACTGAACATAGATTTTTGTTGTGGGAGGGTAAAAGATCTTGGATAAGGAATTTAATTTCAGGGGTTGGAGATAAGTGTGATACAGCCCAATATAAGCTGACAAGATGACTGCAATAGTACAATTTAAATTTTTCATAATATACATTCAAGGTTTTTCCCTAAAGAAAATAATGTTTTTAAAAAGTAGCAAACCAGGATAGCGAGAAAATCTTGAGATAATGATTTTGGTGTTGCTTGCGTTTCTTTCTCATTACTGTACTATTACTACTACTGTTACTGTTCTGTAATATAGAGTGATACAGTTTTTATTTAATAAGTGATTGGCTGCCATTAAAAAAATACTGGTTTCTTCTGTGGCATGAAAGGGTAAGAAAGAGGAAAACTACTGAAGAATTGCCTAAAGAAAACTTCTCATATATCTCTTAAAGAAGATTGTGTTAACTGCTCTGTAATTTTTTTACAGTAACAGTGAAACATACTTTCAGAGTAAATTCTGCATGTTTCTGCTGCTGATTTAACTTGATGAGGTTATTTCCTAGTGTGATACACATTTTAGAGCCATGCTGTTAATTTGTAAGGAACAAAATTTATCTTAGTTTCAATGTGGTCTTGTGTTTGGTGTCTGTACTGTATGTCTTTTTCTGTTTTCCAGTTAAAGTATATATTTTCTTTTTAGTAGGAAAAATTCTAGCTACATATGAAGAAAATACAAGAGATTTCCTGTTCCCTGACCCTAAGCTTACCCGTGGGCACCATGGTTTAGATCGTGAGATTTTAATGAAGAGGTCCTCTTCTTTTACAGTAAGTGAATATCTGTGGATTGTATTTGTGATACAGTGTGTTTCACTGAAGAAACCTCTTGAACTACTCCAAATGAAAAGAGATTACTTCTGACAGATTTTGCCATTTTAGGTGTTGAATGTACGAATCTGCAGTTGAACTTTGATGAAGGTATAATCTTTTTTCAAAATGCTTCAATAAATTATTTAATGTGAAAAACTTAGTTTCCACTTGGTTTGCAGGGTGGCACCATGACATGTCTTCCATTCAGTTTAATCTGTGGTGCAGTTGGTAGTTGAAGGGATGCAAGAGAAGAGGGAGATATCATATCAGCTTCACGGTTCTCAACAGAGAAACCATGTAACCCTCCCTCCTCGGTCTCTCTTTGTCACATTTTCTTTCAGACAGTTTAAGTACTGTTTAGGACAATGACAGTCAATACAAATTTATAGTGCTATACCATCTGACTTGTGGGCCTCCCTGAGGTGCAAGAACACCACTAAAATAGTAAGTAACTGAGATTTAGGTTAGTTAGTGCTGCATGATTGTTTTTCAGTTCCAAACCCTGTTTCTTACGGTCTGTTCAGGCCATTCACACTCATTTAGTAACTTGCCTACAGTTTCAAAAAACCTATGATAAATGACAACTAATTGTCAGAATGAGTGCAATGAATTCATGTTCGTTTTCTGGAGATAAAGGCTCAAGTACATTGTAAATGAAAATGAATTTATCTCACACTGCCCTTTCCTAGAGTTTGACTGTTAAATCTTAGGTGTCAGTGGAATAACTCAGGAAGGCACTTTGAAGGTGATGGTGATGACGTGGGAGATGTGTTTTGGGGTTTGTTTTGTTTGTCTTATTTTGATTAAATTTTATGAGTGGAGTGGCAGGACATTTGGATTGAGAAGACAGGGACTCAGTTGCCCTGTCCGTTGTGATTGGATTAAAAACACAAGGCAAGAGGAAAATGCTGATTAAGGGTCACTGGTATCTTTTAGCTGGTATAGTCTTTCCCCTGCAAGGGCAACTTGGACATTCCCCAGTCACTTGCAATTAGAAGTGCTAATCTGGTGTCTAATGCTGTGTTACATTTGAATGAATTAAAGCTGTGATTTTGTGTTATGAAGTGTATGGTTCTGCAGCAGCTTAAACTATCCCTACAAAAACAGCTATTATTTTTTGGCCATAGCATCTCTTTGCTATCCTATAGCTTATCCTATGCATGTTAGTGGTGGCTCAAGAGAGGGAGGGAGACAGTATTGCTTTCATATTTCCTACAGAATAGGTACTTTTCTGGTCTTGAGGAAGAATAGATAGGGAGGTAGTAATAAATTAGGTGGTCTTAGCAAAATGGTTTCTGTTTTTTCGAAAATGCAATATAATGAATCTTTGTCGAAGCAGAGCCACTAGAGAAGTTTGAGGGTTTTTTTGTTGCACCGAGTTCTTTAATACAAAAAATATGTATTTTCTAGTAAAGAGAAGGAGCCATAATTTGTGAGGTGTGAGGAGATGTGATCAGAGTCATTTGGATGTGTAGCTGAATGAAGACACTGTAGTAGCTTTGAAAAGTTGTCTGATGTATGACAGAAATGTCATACATTCCATGTCCTTGGGAACAGTGTAAATGAAATCCATCTTTGCCCTGGAATGAGGGCTGCAGAAGCATCTGTTGCTCCATTCCATCTCCAGTGCAGAAAGAACAGTTTTAAGAAAGGATTTTGGCATACTGACTCCATTTTCAGGAATAATAAAGAAGCTGTGTTTGATGGAATTGGAAGGAGGGTCCCAAAAAGAACTTGTGGTTCCTGTCCTTGCTTGCCAAATGAGATAGCTGTGATTTTTACCTCCAGTCTCAGATGCCTCCATCTTCTAGTGTTCCCTAAGCTTTACTGGCAAGTATCTCCTGCTAACTCTGTCAGCACTAAGCACTGAATGTGAATGCTAAGCAAAAGGGAAAGTGTTAGACATGCTCATGAGAACCCTCATATTATTCCTATGCTAGGCAAGCCACGTTCTTCCCACTTGAAAAGTTATTTATAGCTAGCTGAGATGTTGAGTATTTTTGACTGACAGCTGTGCTTCAGTGGCACTTTGATTCCCAATAAATTTGTCTTTTATTAAAAAAATAAAGGTAGCAACAGCAAGGTTACAGTTGTGGAGTTCAGATAGGCAGTGACAAGCAGTGTCTGATTAAAACTGCTAATCTGCCAGTTGGAAGGAATCCCAAGTTGAGAGGATCAGAACTCCTCCAGAAATCTGGCACTTGGCTGATAACGTCTCTGGCTATATGTCTTATGAGTCTTACAAACACAACACGCATACAGGACGTGCCTCGAGCTATCTCCCCTGGTCCAGTGTTGCCCAGCTGAGGCTTTTGCTGGCTCTCCTGTATTTCTCTGCAACCCTTGCCTTTCAGAATATGTTAAAGGCTTGACTGGTGGTGACTTCTTACAGATGTTCTTATCTCCATTCCCCACTCTCATGCAGTATTTGCCATGTTATTTAACACAGTTTCTTTTCAGTAATGCTGTCTTTCATTAGCATACCAATACAAGACTTTCTATTATATTCATATATACTTTTTAAAGCTACAGACTGTACTCATGCTCCTTACAGTCAAAAGCATGTATTAGACTTGTTTTCTAACTCGGGTTCTTCAAAATATGATCCACCTTTACAGTTCTTCTATGATCAAATTAATATTATGTTTAGATCAGTTCTGTTTAAAGACAGGTACAGAAGGAGTGATAAGCCTGCTCAGGGCTGCAGACACCACTAAGCCAGAGGCAGAAGAATTGATCCCAGAAACTTTCTGTCTGGATTTTCATTTCCAGATGTGTTTGGGGCTCTACAGCAGTCTTTACATAATACTATATTGAATATCCTTCAGCAGTTCCTAGTTTGGGAACTGCAAAAAACAGAACCACTCTGCTTTTGACCTGTAAGTTACTTTTAACATGTCCATGCCTATGTATGCGAGTGCCATTCCATACTCCCTCTCCACAAACCATTTCTCTGAAGGAACCATGATTTTCTATGATTTTTTAGCTGTAAACATTTAACAATTTTGTAATCATTCTCAGACTCTCTAAGAGCAGTAGGTGCTCTGTTGTTGCTTTTTATAGAAGGTTTACTAATTCTGATGTGTCCTTTTTTAAAGTGTTGATAGCACTTGACAGTTCATTAGTGATAAAAATGAGTTGATTAAAGACGGTCAGCTTTAAAATCTCTTCTATATGCCATAACTTGACTTGATTGAATCCTGGACTCTGTTAATTGCTATGACTGAGCTTTCCTGGCATTTTTGTCATTTCATTTCCATAATCTCACCTGAGGTCAGATCACACTCCCTTATGGGAAATCTCTTTGTGTTTAGGCAGGTGGTAGAGAGTAGTTTGGCTTGGCAGTAAACTTCACTCATGAGGTTCCTGCTAGTTCTGAAGAACGTGGGGCAGAGTCACCAACAGACCAGCTCCTTTTTGTTTCTCAGCGATTTTTTGTGTTCATGTGCACAAATGCCCATGCGCACAGATGCCTCGGGGCAGCAAACTGTGTTGAAAGAAGAGAGGGTAGAAAGTTCTAAGGAAATTTGCTTCTGTCTTTGCTTCTACAGAGCTATATAAGATGCACATAGATTATTCCCATTTGTTTATAGAGTATGTGGCTTTTTTAATGTTGCTTGTTTGTCATAATCTCTGCCATTTATACCCAGCAAATTTTGTGTATGTTGGCTGATTCTAGCCAAATTTAACAGGAAGTAGAACTCTCAAAGGTTTTATATTTCTAGACATACCTAAAGTAAAAGAAATTGAGTTGAACAGGAACTGTTAGCCATGGAAAGAGGGAAGGACCTGCTGACCATTAGGACCTGTGTGTTAGTTGACCAGGAGGCCCAGTTAGACCCCATTGACTCCAAACTGGTCAAAACAGCCTCTTGCCAGCCACGTGTAAGCGGGGATTGAGAGGAAGTGGAACATGGTTATAGAACATGGGAGACAATGCACAGAAATCAGACTTTGCTGTAATGGTTACAGAATAAAGGGGATTTTTTATCATACTGTTACAAATGAATAGTTAATTGTAGTGTAATTGACTAATTTTCAAAATATTTTTACCAAAAAGATTGTACAGTTGAGATTATTTATAAATAAGTTTCCAAAGTTAGCATTAATGAAACTTCTGGAGCATGACTGGAAGTTTTATTGATGCTGTATAGCATGGCATGAAAAATCTTTAAAAGTGCTTTTGACAAAGAAATGTATTGAAATAAAAGTCAGACCTTAATTGTTATACGAAAGCAATATAATCATCTGTAATTGAATTGTCAGAAATGCAAATGTTAGCATCTTGACATTTACCACTGCTGTTCTGTCTTTTCTAATTATCTTTATTAAAGGCTGAAATTAACAAAGGAAATGGCTGAAAAATAGGAATGGTTTGTTACATTAGGTGACATTTACTTCTTTGATACCCTTTATCTTGAGTTGGAGCTTGATGTTCAATTATTGTCTCTCTTCTAGGGAATTGCACCAAAATTGAGATTTTCTACAAGCTCCCTTATTAGAGAATGTCTGTTAAGCTCAGGAAGGAGTCACATACAGGTTAGCATAATTTAATTGTTTGCAATTTAATTTCTAGATTTAATATTGATAGCCTTGGTTCCAATTTTTGCATGTGCTGCTCACTTCAAACTTTTCTCATTCTTTTGTTGTGGTTAAAGCAGTTGTCATGGGTGCTTGACAACTTGATTAAATTTTTAATCAAATATGAGTAAAGAGTGGGTTTGGTGCATGACAGTAAATGCTGAGAGTTCCTTGAATCTGAAACAATTATCAGCTGCTGTGTTCTATGATCAGCTGAAGTGTCAATCCCTGGTGTATTTGTAGGTGGAAGGATGGCTTTTCACCATTTCTTACTGACACTTAAAATTAAGGTGGGACAATGAAAGCTAAGTGAAGTCAGAGAAGGTACATTATCAAAACCAAACCAATTAACTTAGTTGTTTTCCATAACAATATCAATAACAGTAGTGGAAATTAGGATTTCTGTTAAAAAGGCTGTCACCAATATTAATCTGGAAATGCTGCTTGAGCCAAGTTAAAGGTGAAGTAGCTGAAGAGACTGGGGGGAAAAACCCCCTCTCTGATGTGTTTGTTCATTTGGTAGTACTCTTTGGTCTCACAGATTGGAATTTTGGTTGGGTTTCCTGGCACGAGCTGTCATGTAAAGTTACTCTTACGTCCTCCTTTTTTGCTATGTTATTGAAATATGGTGCAGGATCAGTTTGTGGCATTGCTAATTAGTTCACTGAGAAGTTTCTTCCAAATTTAACAAACAAAATGTATTGAGATGCTTAAATAAATAATTAAAAAAAAACCCCAGTGACAATTGGCATTGTCAGAAACCGAACTTCACTGAAGGTGACTTCAGTAAGGGCAGTTTGTTTTAAAATTTAAAATGTCCTTAAAAGTATTTAATATATTATGAATGGCATATCAAATTTGCATGTGTTGCAATTAAGGTCTAGTATCATGATTGGTGTAAGCCAGATGAAGCACAGCCTACTTCTGATGAAATTGAAATTAACCTTAGAGAATTAGATCTGGTTTTGTTTGGGCCAGTTCCATACTCTGTTTTACTACCAGCTGAACAAGTGCTAGTACAGGCGTGAGAAAGACAGTGGCATGAATAGTCTGTGATGCCAGATTCTAACTACATTGATGCAAAACAAACACAACCTCAGCCTCATTTGTTGTTGAGTGTAGAGGGAAAGACTTCAAGGCAAGCTGGACATTTCATTCATGGGTTCCTCTGAACTGAAGCAGTGCATGCAACATTCAGATTTAAGACTAATGGCAGCTTCCTCAAGCTTGAAAAGTAATTTATAACAGGAAGGAAAGTCTTGCTGTACCATTATTTTTTATCTTTTATAGCCTGTGAATTTGTGCCAAATTTGATCAAAAAGCCTAATTATCCATACTGTGGTATTCAAAGTTAAAACATGCTGCTGACTAAGTAGCCTGATAAGAGTTGTATAATCTAGAGTGCCTTGACCTATAAAGCTTGTAGAGTAATTGAATGCTCATTTAATGCCAAAAATTACAAAGGAATGATGATGTATTTCAAACAAAACTTTAGTATTGGAAAGAGTTTCCCAGAATTTGAAATGGATCACTGAAGAAATTAATAGTTATTTCGAGGAGGTGTCAGTCCCGATAGTTAGGTAGGCTTTGCTAGTAACAACAAAATTACACTACCAGCCCCACCATCCTCTGTTGTGGGAAGGGAGGTGATGAGGTTAGTTGTTCCCCCACTTTTGTTTCATAGAATCATTTAAGTTGGAAAAGACCTTTAAGATCATGGAGTCCAACCATAATAGTCTTAGTTCCCTACCTGTGTACATCAGAATAAATAGTCTTTATTATGCTGTATGTAGGTATATTAAAAGCAGTATCAACTCAGAGATAGACTTTTAAGGCAATATTTGATAATGATGTAATTTTTATTCATTTTAGCTACAAAATCCATATTTCACATGTCAGGTGCCAGTTTTACAAAAACAGCTGCTTTGCCTCTTATTTTGCAAAAGTATTCACATGATTTGAGAGGATCTTTGAAAGAAGATCTTTGAAGTTGTTATTTGGTTTTTTTGTGGGAGGGGAGAGTTGTTTATTTTTACTAAACATATCTTCTTGATTATAGCTGTTTAAAGAATTAGTAAATTCACAATGATGCAAGAAAATATAAATATCAGAGAACGTAGTAACACTTCTTGTGAGGCTTTAGGCAACTCTAAATGAATGTAATTTAAACTATTAAGCAGACTTCTATTTTAATTTATGTATTTTATTTTAGAGGATAAGCATTTTAAAAGATTAACAAACGTTTAAAGAGATGAAAAAATGCTTCAAATCTGTGTATGGCCAAATCCAGGTGAAGTTTGTGTTAAATGAACTTGTGACAAAATTCAATTTAATTTTTTTACACTCTGTAGGCTAATGTGTGAGAAAGCTAATTGGGTAAGTATGAGACACTTAACATCTAACACGTAGTAACGTGTGTTTTAACCTTCTTCTGGTTTCAGAGAAAATGGTAAATGTATTGTTGTTTTTTAAATTGCTGTTTGATTATAGTTGTGTGAGGAGAACTTCAGCTGACATGGTGTCTATTTCTGTTAAAATTATTAGTTCCCTGTTTGCATTCTTTTCAGTGATCTTTGTTCTGCATGCTGTCAAACCAGATAGTTTCTCTTTTTCACTTTAGGGTGATTCGAATTGGGTGGGTCACTCAACCCCAAATGGAAAACTGCAAACAAAGTTACCAAAGAAAAATACTCTTTCACCTGAGAAAAGCAGGCACAGCTTAACAACAAAGAACTACGAGCAGCCTACAATAGCTTCTAAATCACGTTCTCCATCTCCATACACAAAAAGACGAATGTGTGAGCTATCAGAAGAAGCCAGGCAACGACTGGCCCATTTAAACCTTGGTCCTTATGAATTCAGAAGAGAAACCAATAAACCTCCATTTGTAGTTAGACGGGTTTGTATTCTCTCCTTAGTGCTTCCAGCTTAAGCTCAGATCAAATATTGTTCTTTCACTAAATACTGCTCCAAAAATTCATTCAGCTCTTAGTTTAGATGAATAATTTTTCTCTCTTTAACAGTCTGTCATGTAGTGATTTAAATGTAGAATTAACTAAAATAAAATTTCTTTTATTCACATTAGTAACAGACAAAGATCAAATTCATTCATGAATATCTTGGTTAAGTTCTCTGAGGCCCCATTTCTTTTCTTCCAGCACACTAGACAGGATAATAGGTGTATAAATTCAGCTTGGAAGTAATTGATATTAGTATTAAAAATTCCTGAATAAGACTTTAAAGAAAGAGGGTCTAGTCACATTATGAACAGTTACACTTCCTCTTTCAACTTTTTTTATGTTGGCATCCTATGATTTTTGAAACACTTCCTTTGCTTAGAGCTACATCTCTAACACTTTGACTTAGAGTTCATAACCAGCCTGACTTTCACACTTGCATATGGACTTTTTGCTAACTGTATATGAAAAATTGTTCTGAAATTAGGTTCTGTGTTTAAGTGCTTTAATACGAAGGGAACAGATTTCCCAGCCTCTTGGAGGATCATATTCGCTTACATTTTTTTTTTCCTCTTAATTTTTCTTAAGATTGCAACAATCCTTTATTTTTAGAATAGCACTTTGAATGTGCAGGGGCAGAGATGGGATTGTTCTGATTCTGTACTATGACATTATGATTTGTGTGAATTCCTGATTCTTGTCACTGCCATTGAGATAATTTAGTGTTTGATTAGTTTGCTTCTCACTTTATTTAATTTTTTCTAGTTTATGTACAAATAAATTAATAATATCCTGTCAAATTTTAGAATTATTTTCCAAGTTTTATTCTACATATAACTACCTTTTAGAAATTGAGATTAACCTTAGTAAACCATTAATCATTCATCAACCTCCTGTGTATCTCTCTCTCTCTCTCTCGGATATTTTTGTTTTAACTCCTTTTAATCAATTCTTCTGTTTTTTTGATCTATAGGTAAAGATCACAGTTTAATTATAGAATCTTTAAACACTAATTATTGATTTTGATTGCTTTGTTATGTTTGTACAAAAAATGAAAAAGCTTGTCTCTTAATGTACCGTATGCTGACGGTCATGGCCTTTCTAGGTCAAGAATGCTCCTTTTAGGGCACCTTTACTGCTGAGGACTCTTTTGGCTTGAATATTTTGTGTTACATGAAGATTAAAATTAGATTATGTTAAATGTAACTTTTATAATTAGGAAGAGATTCCTGTTTGGAATAAATATAAGACACTAGGAATTGTTTAAAAAGACTGCAAACATTATAGATTAAGGAGAAACTAACTGCATTTTTTTCTTTAAACAATATGATATTCAGAATTTTCTAGACCTTTCTAGCACTGTTTTTGTTTATGCACATTAATGCTAATAATACTCATAATATGAGCAAAATGTGAAAATAGTTTTAAATAGTATTTTAATAAGAAAAAAATATTTCAGAAAGGACTAGATGTGATCTTATGAATGAAAACAGGAAAAAATAGGAATTGATACATCTGATACTGAGCATTTTAACAGTATTTTTGCTTCAGGTTGAACAACCAAGTCCTGGTACTAAACTTCATAGCTGGTGTCCCACACAAGAAAGCACAGTGGCAGCCTGGACCAAGGCAGACCATGGTCAGTATTTTCTACTGCCTGTCTCATTAATGCTTTTGTTTTCTGTAGTAGTTCAGTGAGGTTATTTTATTTTGGGGTTTTTGTTTTGGTTTGGTTTTTTTTATTTATTAAAAAAGTCAGTCTATAATGGAGAAAAAGCTGTTCTTTCTTCCTAGGAATAGGAAGAAACTGAATAAGGTACTACTGCAAAAGGTGGTTTTGGATAGTTTTTTACCTCATGAAACTTGTAACATAGTTCTACGTGGTATGAAAGTAGGAGTAGAAAATACCAAAGTCCAGACAAGTGCTTTGTTTCACGCTGCTGGCTTTGATGAGTTGGATAGTGAAGCAAATCTGCACCACAGTCTGTGGGTGTGTTGATCAGGCTTGGGGTACTGATAATTTTGAAGTTCAAGGGCTCTGTTGCTTCAAAAATGAATAATATTTATTTCAGCAGTATTTGTAAGTAGTGGATCAGTGACTTACCATTATTAATGAGCATCCAGGATGTGCTCAAATACCTGCTTTGGTATCACCATTATCAGTAAGTGAGGCCTTAATAAAAGATGTAGGATCAGAAATTTAAGGAAGTACCCTAAAACTTGATTTTATTGCATGTGTCTGGCAATATGAGGATTTTAATGAATCTCATCAGTATTTGCTTATGTGTACTCTGCCTCATTTTTATTGCACCTCCTCAGTAATTTTAAATTGTTAAACAGCAAATCATTGTGAACTTGTTATTTTATTTTTGTTCTTTGTAGTAGTACCAAATCCAGGATTTCAAAGGTTTCACTTTCCCTTTGAGGTCATACTTACTAATCTGTAGTAGCTGGATAATGTAACAGACCTATTACCATCTGATACCATTACATGTTTAAGAAATGAGTTGATGGTTTCTGGTCGGTGGTTAGGCAACCAAAATCTACCTCACTATTAATATCCAGAAGATTCACTGGTCACCTGCCTATGTTTTGAGGCTTAACTGTAACTTATAAAAAACCCAGATTCCTAGATTGCCCAGAGAAGTTGTGGGTGCCCCCTCCCTGGAAGTGTTTCAGGCCAGGTTGGATGAGGCTTTGAGCAACCTGGTCTAGTGGAAGGTGTCCCTGCTGATGGCAGGGGGGTTGGAACTGGATGATCTTTAAGATCCCTTCCAACCAAAAACATTCTATGATTCTGTGGTTAGAAATCTTAATACTGACAGTACGGTTTAGTCCTTTTTTGCTTTCATGCAGGTAGCTGAGAGGGGGGTGTCTTTGCATTGCTGTACAGCATAGAAGTGACACTTTGGCCTTGGGTCACAGTGTGAGGGTTGTTCAGTACAGACTGATACAACCGATCAAGAAGCCAGACATAATTTAATGTCAGTCCCTTAGGGATGAGGTGCATATTGACATCAGTGAAACACCCTAACCTGATATGGACCTCATAGTTTCCCCACATATGTTTCCATGGACTTCATACTCATGTTTGTGGGTTAGTGGTGAGGGAAGGAATGAAGAGGTGATACAAGCAGGGAGACGTGGTTATAGGGAAGCTTGTTCAGGAAAGATTAGTAAGGTAGTGTAATGTACCTGAGAATTTTGGGGAATGGTAGAGCTTGATTTTATATTGATTTAGGCAATGAATAGCTCAACAAAATGTGCCACTTCCATCTGTACAGAAGATGGTGCATACACTGATTCATTATTATAAACATGAAATAATTCTTTTCAGCTTAAGAAAGTGATTTCCTGAAATATTCAAAGGAGACTGTTTAGAATTTCACAATGTATAATAATAATGATAACGATGATAATAAGTTGCTTTTGTACTGTTTGGGAGGAGAGGTAAGCTATTTTGTAAAAGACTTTATAAAATTTAGGACATTCAGATATTTTTTTTTAATTTCTTCTGAAATGCACCTTTTTTCTTTCTGCAGATCTTTCTCTTCTTGGCAGCTACAGACCTAAGAAAGCTGGAGTGAGTACTTTGAAGTACTATTGTTTACAAATTATTTTTTGGGAAGCTGAGTCAGGAGGATTGTCCTGCATAAGTATTTTTGAAACTTTAACTTACACAGTATCAAAAACAAGAAAAGAGATATTTTAAATCTGATCTAACCTGGTTTAGGCCTGCTGACAGATTATTTACAAATAGAAATGTAAAACTTAACACTCTATAAGATATTCATACCTGTAGGTACAGAAATTGCTTCTCCTTGACATTGAGGCTTGTGACAAGCCTGTAGAAAAGCTTTTAAATGCAGTTTGCATTTGCCTTCCCGGTCATTCTGAGAGCACACTTCATTCCAGAATTGGATGCAAAGGTAACACTGGTATGACTGGCAAGTCACTACTCTGTTATTTCAAGTCTTTGCTTTTTCAGATTTTAGCTGCTTTGTGTATTAGTTGGTTCTGAAGATTAATGTCAGGGCTCCGTTTTGTGTGTGTGTTTTTTATTCTTTCCATCCTCATTTAATTGTTTTTGCCTGTGTTCCTAAAGTACTGCAGAAATTGTGGGCTTAGGCATTTAATTGTGTATGCCCTCTTAGATTTCCTAATGCCTGGGAAAACTGATAACAGGAAAGAAGAAAGAAGGGGAATTAAAAGGATAAATCTTAATGTATGTTAAGCACTGTTTTGTCAGATTCTAAACTTTTATCACCAAGGATTGTAGTTTTGCGTACTGTGTAAGTCTAATATATTGTGCCACTTCTGGATTGTTCAGTGGCTGTAAATAAAATAGAGAATTTCTACTAAATAAGCTAAATATGTCATTATTTCTTCGTGTTTTTTTAAATTATGGCTATTTTAAGGTTGTGTTGTGTCCCCCCATCCCTCTGCTCCCCAGTGTGAAAGTAGATTTCAGTAGTAGTCATTGTTTGGAGAATGCAGATAGCTGAGCTACAGGTTAATTCATCAGTTCTTGATGCCTCTAATCACTTGTGATTCTCACAAAATCAGGGCTGAACAGAATGTATCTTTTTCTTGCCAGAAATACAATATAGCTTTGTTTAAGAGGAGCTGTTTCCCAAAGCTGAGGAAAAAAACTCTCCAGCCTGGAAAGAGCTAATGAATAACCTGATTATTGTTGGTCTGGTTTTGTTGTGGTTTGTTTCCCCGCCCCCCCCTTTAGCTTTGGGAAACAACTCTTGTAAAAGTCCACATTCCAGGTAAAATGGCGTGACCCATGGAGACATTTTAGTGGTCTGTTTCAGGTTAAGAAGAACTATGAAATCAGAAACTAGTGTAGTGAAGAGTGAGTAGAAGATGAGTAGATGGGCCTGTTTTCCCTTGAGGAAGAGCAAATAATGAGGAAAAAAAAACCTAAGAACAAGCGGTCCCAGACTGAGCAGAGGTCTGAGGTTTATGTTGTTTAGACTCTAAGGCATAATTCTGAATCTGTGAGATTCCTGGGAGGGGTAAATCTTTAAATTGTGCAGTCAGAAAAGGTGATACAAGGGCTGTTGCACTACACTTTGCCATAAGATGGTGTGTTAGATACCAACAGAGTCCTCTAACACTTGTTGATTTAATTTAGACCAGGTCTTTTTGTATGAAATGAGGGTCCTTGTTCTTTCCCCAGCAGATAGATATGCCTGCCTGTATGTGCAACCTTTAACATTTTGATTTGAAAAATAAAAACCTGAAAACTGTACATCTTGATATTAATAATAAATTTTAGCAAGGTTTGGTGTTTGTTTGGTTTTTTTTTCTACAGGCAAAATCTACTCATGGAAAAGACTTTGACAGTTCTGACGTTTGCAGTAAGGACGGGATCTCAGATCCACGCAACAAACAGTCCCATTCTGCTGGTTTATTAGAGCGTTCAGCACCTCCAGCATTTCAGAAGCATTCTCTAAGTTCTGTGCTAAATCGATCTTCTCTAAGGGAAAGGTAATGACTTGGTTTTGTTTGTGAAATTCTGGAATCATTAACATGAGCAGATGGTAACAGTACTTGCATGACTATAGTTTGCATGTTTAGAGGTGTGCAGGCTGAAGAGACTGAAAAATCTTTCCCCAGCAACTGTATTGTCATTTGACTTTTCCTCAGGTGCTGTGTTTGCCATCACCTCTCTGTTTAACAAATACAATCTTAATAGTATGGCAACGAAATCTTTGACATCTCTGTTGCTAACCTTCTCTGAAACAATGAAGCCCTAGATATCAGGCTGCCAATGTCCGTCTAAAGCAGAGAATACTTAAGTAAATAAATAATCACTGTTTCAGAGGGGATTAGAATCTCGGGAATGTAAATATAGATACATGTCAAGTAGGCTTTAAGGGAGGTACTTGGAAACCCTTTGTCCTTCTGAGTGTTGTTCAGCCTGGTGTTTGTAAGCACATACTTGTGGCTATTCTGCAGTCAGATGCGTGACTAGTGTGTGTGACTAGTGTGCGTAACATGCTTGGGCTAGCTTTAATCTAGTCAGTGTATTATTTTCCAATCTTTCTGCTTTACTGACATCCTAAGATTTTATTTTGAGTTGAAGTGTGGGCCTCTGCAGCAATTGTGTGTTTATTAATTGCTATATTTAAATTTGTTTTCTTGGTAGTCTCCACTGACCCCAATGGGGCTGGGGTGGAGACGGCTTCTAATATCCCTTAGTTCAGTGGGTTTCTGGGTTAATATTTTGGGCACATTTTGCAGCTTCAGTGTCTGATGAGGGTGAGATGGAAGAAATGTCAAAAAGCAACAGATTTTTTTCATGCTTAAGTCCTCTAGTCCTTCAAGGAGAGCATTCCCCACCTCCTGCTGAGTAGAACGTGTACTTGTTGCAATGCTTCTACTCTACATTCAGGTTAGTAAGTTACTAGATGCCTTTCTGGGAGCAGAAAAACTATATACAAAACTGGACCTGAATAACCAAATATATCAAATAATTGAGAGAAGCTGAGGATCAAACTGATGTCCTGTAGTAAATGCTGAGGTTTTTACTGAGGCCCTACTTGGAGATGTAATTTGGAGGCTAGTTCACACTCGTTCCAGGCTGTTTCATCCTTATTACCTCTGGTACCTCAGTTAATCAATGTTTGCAGGGTGCATTTTATAGCCTATACACAGCCTAATGCTTTTTTTTTTCAAAATAGAAAAATTGTCTCTTCTTCTTTAAAAAGAAAAATGACAGATGGCAGGTGGGGATTGAATTTTTAATACTCATAAAGATCAAGTTGGTGTTTTAACATCTTCCCCTGCTTGAAAACTTGTTTGTTGTTCTGTGTAATAGTATTTCTTGAGAAGTGTTTGTATATAGAGAGATTAGGATGTATCTGGGGTTTGGAGGAGGTTTCTTTGTTAGTTTGTCTACCTCCCCATTCTCTTTTGACATTGTTTGTGCATTAGTTACCTCTGTCTGGGGAAGATACATTATAATGGTGACTTTTTTATCCTTCTTTTTTCAACTTGACTCCTTTTTTTTTTTTTTGTCAGGGGTCTGTGTGTGTTAAATTTTAAAATGGATTACATTTAAAGCTAACAGGGTGCCTTATATTCATAGCAGGAAAGTCTTGTATGTTACGAGCTGCTGTTACGTGCACAGTAATTTAGTTGTCTGCCAGTTAATCTTGAAATTGTCTGAATGTTCTTGCTTTTTCCCTTTGTGAGCCCCTCTCCAGAAGAGATTTGTGATCTTGTGAAATTATTTTTTTTCTTCTTATTAGAACAAATGTTCTCAGCTCTTTAGAGATGTAATATCTCTTTATGTTAAAGATGTAGGCATTTACTTTTGTCATCAGAAAAATTGAAAATGAGAAGGTAAAAGGCATAGTCTAAAAATTTGGATTTCTGTTTCATGCTGCTGAGATAACAATGCCTTTAGCTGACTGTATACTGAGAGTTATAGTTGGAATGACAAACATGGATCAGAGGTCATTGTTTGGAAATGGATACAAACACTACTGTTCACATCATAGAAATACAGAGAAAATCAGTACTACTGAGAGTATAGCAGTGTTAGTGCATTTGCAAGAATACAGAGTCATCTCACAGTATTTTGTGTTTATTTCCTCAATTTTATTTTTAATTACAAAGACAAAAAGCTTAGCATTTCCAGGCTATTATTTTTTTAATGCTGGTCAACCCACAGTCAATATGAAACTTGACTCTCCACCTTGAACTTTAGTGAAAAAAAAAAAGTGAAGTGAATGTCTGCCTTCTTGGGAGTACTTCCCAGAGCCCTGCTGAATAGTTGTTAAGCCACTGCAATACTTTTCAGTGATACAGAAATTGGGGTCTTGCATAAGGTCTTTTGAGCCCTTTTGTATCCTTTCTGGCAGTTTCCAGTCCCTTTCTGTGAGCCTGCTGTAGAGCGATCACAAATCAATCCTTTCCCCTTTCCACTGGGTTTGAGCCAGAAGCAGAACTGTAAATAAATTTACTGTAGAACAAGGCAGCAAAGTTTTGAATATTTATTTTTCATAGTTTATGTTTACATTTTTCATTATTTAGGTCACCTGAGGAAGGCATTTGCTAGTGTTGCAAACAGACAGTAAACAGAGTGATGTGACTGTACAACTCCACTTCCCGTTTTGATTCTAGCTGCTGTCCAGAGCCACGTTACATGCACACTCTGCAATTCCTGCCCATGATGTGTGGCCAGGTGCTAGGCTAGTAGGTACTTCTCTACTTCAATCAATGCAGTTGGCTTGCCCCCATAGACTGGTTGGTTGAGCATAGATAAGTATCCCATATGCTTTGTGAAAAAGCATTAGGACTGTGTTCTCTCAATGATGCTGCAGGAAAGCAAAATTAAGTCCAGTCTTTGCTTTCATAGAGCTTGTGCATCCTCATGCACTCCTAGAAGAAGTGTTTTTCTTGAGGACTTGCAAGGTCAGCCTTCCTCGCAGCACTGAAACCTGCAGCAAAGTACCTTTCCGAAAGAAAAGGAGAAGTGATGAGGTGGATTCTGTGAGGTAATGACAAAAGTCCTCTGAACGGAGCTATCTGCTGGCACAAGAGAAATTCTTTTCTCAAGAGACTGCAGCAATCATAGGAGTATTTGGCCATTTCTGTTATGTTGAGAGGCAAAGCTACTTCTCATGCTTTTGGGATCAAAGGATTCTTTTTCCTACTCTGGACATGGCAAGCTTTTACTTTTGTTTTTTATCATCAATCTGAAGAATATTGTTTCCAGAGTAAAGCCCAGCTCCCTGTCTTTTTTATGTTCTCCTGGTTATACTGCTGATATGTGATCTTACCTGCTATAAAATCTAACAAAAATCTAAGTTCTGTTTGAAGTAAGGCAAAGGTGACTGTATGGATCAGATGTCCTTCTGTAGTATTCCCCTATTGTTTTACTACCATCTTTTTATGTTATTTTTTTCCAAATACTATATCAGTATTTGGAAATATCAGCATGAAATTAGCTATTACTTAGTGATGGATATAATGATAGAAACTAATAGTTAGATACTAATAAAAGACTAGATCCTGTGTGAAGTCCTTGAAACTTCCAGTTATCAGAAGCTTTGGCTTCAGCAATTTTGAAATGTCAGCCCTGGATCTTGGGTACTAGTTTTGTTGCATAGCAAAATCCAGATCCCAGGTAGTTCACCTGATATTTTTGAGTGTGGCATGCATCCTAAGACAGGGTTTACTTCCGTGAGAGTTAATTTTAAGAAAATTTTAAGAAAAAGCAAACCCAAATTACATCCTTTACTAAGTAGACCAGTAAAACCCTTAAGTGTAGCCCAGCCTTTCTATTGTGCCTCCGTACAGACCAGTGTACACTGAGAACCAAGTTCATTGTACTGAATTACCACTTCATGTCCTCTTAAATGAGAATAAAACAACTTCACTTAATGTGAATGCTGCATAAATACCTACTTGGATATAAGATCTATGAGGTTTTTTTTCTATTTCAGAATTAAATGTATTTGGTTTTCTTGAGAATCTCTCTTGTTCCATGTATAAGTTCTTGCAGATTGTGGTTTTTCAGGTTATACTTAGCTTTAAGAGTTCTTTCTCCCGCTTCTCCCCAATTACAGTGGCGTTCTCTCCAATTGCGAATGTGGTACTACAGTACTTCATTGATTTCTCTCCTCTGATAGTTTGTCCTTGTATGTGGTTTTGCTCAGCGTGAAGTCTGTGTCTTTGAAGCTGATGAATTCTTCATGGAGCCCACATGCACCAAATTGTTCACAAAGCTGGGAGGTGTGATGTTGGGGGAAGGGGGCACGATAGGCATTGCAAATATTCTGCAGTAGGCTTTTGCAT